TCTGCTATGATTAATTAGGCTATCTAGTTAAATAGTTTCTGTTTTAACTGTGTTTATTGTTGATATACGATCGGGAGTCTGTACAGGGTGTTTTATTTTGAAAATTGACCGGATTCTCGCTGTTTTATGTCTGACTTCCTGCCCTACTTTAATGATCAGTCCCAAAAGTCAGCAGATGAACGTGGACTAAACCCGGTTTGTTACCTGTTACATCAACAAATAGGGTTTGTCCCATATACGTTTGGTGTGGTCAAGGTGTTCTTCTTTTTTATTTTCAGCCTAAATGTTTCTGCTTCTCGTTTTGTCTGGACAACGCACTGATGCAACTTACGTACAATTTATAAGCAGTCCACTTTTCCCATTTTTCATTAAACTCCACTGTATTCTCAGAGTCGTTCCGTATCGCGTGTCTCCTCAACAACGTCCAGCCCGTTTCTCATCCGACTGCCTTCCCGGTCGCCACTAATGGAAGTTTAACAGGACATCTGTCCTCATGTTGTACATCTTCCTGTGTCAGGTTACAATAAGCAGAACACACGTCTTTGGGAATTTATAACCTAATATCACCTCCAGCTCCATCCACATGTCCTCGTGGATGTTTTCTTCTGCTCTACTTATTTAGTTTGTTAGAATTGAATAATAGAACTGCACGTCTGATTCACGAATGCTGCTTCTGATGACTTCTTCTCGTGTTAAATAATGTTGCTTGAAACATGATGGTGTGTTGATGAAGGAGCAGTTCGTCTTTTTTGGGGAAACCACTCTGAGTAAAATATGATCTGGTCTCTGAAAATAAGCTTTGCATGTCTCTTTGGCAGTGTTCGGGAGTCACTGATTAAATGTAATTTCGTTGCGTAATTCAATGTCAAAATAAGTGCAGGGCCTAACTAATCTGGTTCAGTTACTGTGTAATTAAATTACAGTTACTTTTAAAAATGTTCATGGGGGGTAACATCTGAATATTCATGTTGTTGTTTTGCATGCTTTGCCGTTTCCAGCCACAGAAACTGTTCTGATGCTTCTGATTGGTTCTCATGATTGCAGAATTTAGAAAAGTAATTAAATGCAGTAAGTCACATTACTTTAATCAAGTTATTTAAATAGTTAAACTACTATTACATTTTAAATGGGGTAACTTGTAATCGATTTCCAAAGTAACCTTCACAACACTGTTCTTTCGCCACAAGCTTCAGCCAACTCAATAAATGTTAATGTGAAAGGATTTGATTGTTGAATATCTTGTATGTAGATAAAAAAGCTATTAAGTTATGACAACTTTGTATAGAGAGCCCAAGTCCCTCCCCTTCCGCCACACGGGACCTTATTTCAGAACAAATATGTACGTAGTAAACGGCGAGAGACAACTTATGTTTTGATCCCGTTTGAGTTGTGCCCTGAATTACACACATGATGTTGGTCAATTTAAAAGACATTAAAGTCAAGAAAGTTGCAGTTTGTGGTAAAATTGTCAAAGCATGAGACTGTGAAAATATGTAATAACAAAGGACCACAAACCCACGAGTCTCTCAAAGACTGAAGCGAACGTCAAAGAGCTTCCATGTGCAGATGGTGCGATGAAAAGGACCAGGAGTCGGTTTAGGAGTCAGGAGATAGGTCTGAATAGATTACACAAAAGTCCTGACCTACATTGATGTTACTTCTTGATCAGTTCCCACAAAATGTCCTCACTTGAGCTGCACATTCGAACGCTTGATGAACTTTAAGCTCCTGCAACTGACACGTGACCCATCCTGCCAGAGGATGTCTGCCTTTAATATATTAATAATAATAATTTTAATTTCCTGTTTCTCATCAGAAACTTTGAGGAATCAGAGGACGAGCTGAGAGAAGCGGTGGCGGACTCCATGAAGAACCTGTTCGTCACGGAAGACGGGAGCTCGGACGAGGAGGAGGACGCGGAGGAGAGGGCGGCGGTGGGTGATGGGATCGAGGAGAATCGGGAGGTCCAGGGTTTAGACGTCACCGCCGGACCGACCGGAGTCGTTTCTTCCGAGTCTAAAGAACATGACGGTCAGTCCGAGAGTTCAGACAGGAACACAGCTTTAAATAAGCAGACTTCCTGAATTGACCCAAACCTACACTGAAAGTCTGAAGCTCAATTCATTCTTTAACAGGAAAATGATAACACACAGGAACTGTTAGGACATACGTTCATTGGCTGCTTTCACATCTGGAGAGCCCGGTTCACTTGTTTTGGACCAAGGGGAAACATTTTTTACATGGTTGTATTTTAGTTCTGGTCTGGTTCACGTTCACACGGCAGTTTTACAAACAAACCAAGAGGAGTAAACATGAAGTCATGCAGACAGACAGGTGACTCATCGACGGCTTTGGCTGTCAATCAAACTCCAGTGACTGACAAACGTTTACGCAGCTTTAATGCTTCTGATGTGTATCGCAAAGAGCTCACGAAGAAACAACTCATTGAAAGCATTATTAGTAATATTAGACCGTAAATCGACCACATGTTCTGAATGATGACGGCGACACAGGAAGACGAGAACAGGAATGATTCTGGGCTTATTCCTGTCACTAAATGTTTTATGGACTTAATGAACTGACAGAGTACCTGGAGTTCTTTTTTAACTGCTTTTGACCCGTTAATCTGAGAAAACACGCTGACGTGTATCCAAGGTGACCAAATCGTTTGCATAAATGTAGATCAATTACAAGATCGCTTCCTGAACACATTTCCACGATCAGCAGGACTGGATGGACTTATTAGTGGTTCAGCTTTTGAAATATCCTCAGATCACAAATCTGCTATCATGAAATCCTGTGGTTGGTTCATTTGCACCAGAGTTTGTTTGATTGCTGCGTTCACACCTGCCCTAACGAACCGCACCAAGGGGAAAAACCAACTCTAGTGGGATTCAACCAAACTAAATGAGGAAGTTGTGAAAGCCCCCTGAACGTGGGATTTATTTACTATTAGAAAAATATAGAATATCAACGGAGTTATTCTTTAACATCAGCTTCAGTGCAGGTTTGACTTCTTCCGATTGTAAATCTTTACTTTTGTTCAATGGAAGCTGTTCTCTAATGTGCAGCAGTAATGCGTGGACCCTCCCTGTGCTGAAACTCTGTTTCTTGCCACAAGTCGGCAGCAAACAACAAGCAGTTAATATGAAGTGTTCAATGATTGCATTTATTCCAGTATTGTTCAAGTGGAATTTCATTTTCTCAGTGAAACAAACTCAGAACGTCCTCTCTGCACAGGCAGATGTGATAATAGTAATATTGCCTCTTTCAAAATAAAGATTCTTATAAGATTTTACACGGTGTCATATTTCCATGGCCGGACCGCCCCACAAACAGGAATGCAGGAAGTGAAACATGTAAATAAGCGATCACGTTAACCCAAACACACGCGTGCTTAAAGTGCTTCTTCGCCACATCCAAAGAAAAGTCTTCATTTAACTCAAGTTAGTCATTTAAAAACAGATGAAACCATCACCATAACAAAACTATTATCAAAATCACTTAATAACTCACTTCCACACTAGCAAACACTTAGTGGCTTCAGTGGAGTCGAATGAAAAGCTGTATCTCCGTTTGGAAGGAAAATGTCCCTCTAAATATATTTAAACACCTTAAATTAAAACTTTGGGAAAATATGCTGTCACATTCATATCAGTACTGACACCTGTTAGCTTAGCACAAAGACTGGAAGCAGGGGGAAACTGCTAGCCTAGCATAAATCAAAAGAAAAGAAATACTCTGAAGCCGTCTGATTTACAAGTCTTACATGTGAACGGAAACTTGACTACTGCGGCTAAGTTGCCCACTTTGTGCATTTTTGTGCATTTAAAAAAAAATAAACAGGCAATTTCTGGATGTACTGATCATTAGCTATAAAAAAAAAAGAAAAGAAAAAAAAAAGCTAATTTTGGAACAGATGGAAGAAATTTTAGCCGCCATGTTTGTAGTTCTTCTGTAAATCAAGTCCTGTGGGAAAAACCTTAAATGGTCCCAAAGTAAGCAGCAAACTTTAAACTTCACGTCACCAAAACATTTTCAGATCTAAAATTATAAATGAAATGAATGAGTTTCGTTCATTATTTCACTGTAGGATGAACTGATGACCAGCTGCTCTGTCGGCCTTCATTAATATTATATATATAGTTTATATAATTATATATATAGGCCAAATAAAGCTCGTTTTAACATGCTGTTCCAAGGTGTTTACTGTAGACATGTGCTTTTGCATGAACTTTCAAGGCTTCATTTACTTTGTTTAAGTTGTTAATTCATTACTTGATCATTAAAAGCTGTAACTCTGAAATTTACATTATTTCTCAGTTTTACTGACCTAAACTTTGTCTTTGCCTTCTTTAGTTATTCTGCAGCAGTGGAACCAGTAAACACCTTGAAACAACCTCACAAGCTTTAGTGAAATGAACAAAACTTCTTAATTTAATTGTTAATTTTAGAACTTAAAGTTTGCTGCTTACTTTGGGACCATTTAAGGTTTTTCACTGGACTTGAACTACTTCGATTTATATAAAAACTACAAACACGGGGGTTTCTAAAACCATTTCAGGCTTCCTGATTTCAGCCTTTGTGCTAAGCTAGGCTCAGTAGCTCCTGGAGCAGATATCACCCATAATATTCTCATTTAAAACCCGCTAAGAAAACAAACAAGCTGCTCCTAAATTGTAACTTCCTGCTGGGAAAAACTGCGATTAAACAGTTAAGTTTCCTGAAAACTCGAGGACTTTCCAGCTGTTATCCAACGACACATCAACACGGACACTTTCATTTGTATGTTTTACAATTTATGTTGCATCTGTCATCTGCTTCTGTGTACACCGAAGCTCAACACGTTTAGATACTCTGAGCTGTTTGTATACAGGTTCAGGTTCCTTCATGTCATCGTGCATCAGCTCTCCCGACACCCTCACACGAGTTTGACACACGCAAAGTCACAGGAAACGTCCTTGTTCTTTTGGTTTTAGATTCATCGCAGTGGACAAAGAAGGACAATGTTAGCGCTGCGTGTCCACCAGGAATCAGAGTCTATCGTTTTAAACTGGGTCACTCTTTACTAAATGTGAATTAAATGAAGTCCTGGTCCCTGATGGACCGCCGGCCCCGTCTGCTCTTCCTCATCGCTCCAGTTTACTCATCAGAGACTCCGTGGCGGCAAGGAAACAAGCCTCAAACTCCTGGTCGGAGAAGCGTTCCACGGAGCGCCGGCCGTTACGTCGGATCTCCAGTCTGGCCGACGGAGACAGCGCCAGGATGGATTCCATGGCAGCGGCGTAGCTGTCCTCGCTGTCGGCCAGGAAGCCCGTCTGTCCGCCCTCGTACGGCACCACGATGTCCAGCTTCGGCCCTCCAGACTTATGAGCGAGGACGATGGTGCCTGCAGCCATGCACTCCACGACACCTGGGCAGAGGAGAGAGATCATAGCTAAACTTTTTGTTTCACTGGTTAGTTTAAAGGAGGCTTTCACACCTGAAAGTCGGCACCAAGTTCATGTTTTGATACATTCGGTTAGTTTTGGTTTGGTTTCAACTCTGCGACCGCACTGAAAGGACTTCACATGGCAGACCTGCGTCCTGTCGTCATCATCTATGTGGGCTGCGTCTCCCTGTACTTGACACTCTCTACCATATAGTGAGCTCGCTGTCCGAATGTATAGTGATAATTATTATACTCTATATAGTCCACTCAATGTATCCCAGAATGCATTTTGAAAAGTACTGTGAACTGTGTGTGTCCTCACCGATGCCGAAGTGTTCGTTCCACATGGTGTGCAGACCGATGGTGGCGTCCACCAGCTCCCTCTTCAGCTCCTCGAAGGCCACGTTGAGTTTGAAGTCGACCCGGTCCGACACGCCCAGCTCCTGGCAGAGCCCCCGCAGCATCAGCACCCGCTCCTCGTCCTCCTGGTTCCTGCACCCGCCGATCAGCACCAGCCGCAGAGACTCCCGACCCCCTGGCCCCTCCTTCCTCCCGGTCAGCAGTTTGTGAAACGCCCGGATCTGCAGCTGGTGGTCCTTCTCCGGTCGGAACTGACCCACCGACACGATGGCGTGGCACTTCCTGTCCCCTCCTCCTTCCTCTTCGAGCTCCCGTCCGAGCTCCTCCCAGCCCTCCTCCACCTCGTCCTCATCCTCCAGCGGGACGTCCAGGAAGGCCCTGACGTCGCAGGGCGGGTAGACGACGCTGGTGCGGTTGGGACAGCGCCACAGGGCCAGGATGTGTCCCAGCGTCCAGGTGGAGTTGACCATGATGACGTCGCTGCAGGAGCCGGCCAGGCCGTACAGCAGGGCGAAGCAGCAGTAGTACACCACCTTCGCCGCGCTCAGCACCGGGTTTCTGGAGATGAAGTCGGCGTTGTTGAATCTGGAATCACAAGAGGAGGAAGACAGAAGGTTGGCGTGGTACGAACAACAGTGAACCGGTTTAATTTGAAGACGTTTTCTAAACTAAGAGTGAATAAATCTTAATACACCGGCTTTACATTCTAAAAACAGCATTATGTAGCATCCAGAGGTGGAAAGTAAAGAAACACAATTACTCACGTTACTGTTTTTGAGTAGGTTTTTTGAGTGTACTTGTAATTATTAGTAAGTAGTTTTTAAAATCTGTAATTTTACTTTTACTTAAGTACATTTTGTTTGGAGTACTGTAAACTTCTCATAATAACAAAAAGGTTTTGCGCCATTGCTTTGGCAAATAATCTGTCAAAATGAACTAAAATCAAAAGTTTTGGCTTTGTGCCAAGACTGCAATTTAATTAAATAAGTATTATTAAGATATTAAATCAGGATAAATAAGTTGTTTTAGGAGGTTAAAAAGTAACTGAGTAAATTTTAAATGTGCTCCTTTTCACTTTAACTTGTGTTACGGCCGCCGCTGGCTGCCTTAGAGTAGTTGTGTTTTGGATTTCTCTGAGCTGTATGCAAATCCCCACGGCAAGCACCTGTCGAGGATTGGTTCCCCTGGACCTGGAACCACCCACTTCCTGGTTGCTGTTTGCTGGCGTCTGATTGGTGTGGCCGAGGATCCTACCGAACCTGCCAACCAGAACTCACCAATCAACACCAGCTGGCCTACAAATAGTTTGTGTTCCTGCAGTTCGAGGCGACTGTGAGCCAGTGATCAGTTCGCCTTGTTGTTGGTTGTGTACCCCTGTGAATGTCTTGAGTGTTTAAATCTGATCTGTTTGTCGGTTGCCGGCTTAAGTGACTCTTGTCAGTAAAAACCTTTGTAAACTAGATTGTGAGTGGCACCCTTTAAGGGGGAAAATTGTTTGTTTGGTTACACTACATTCCTGTACAGCATGTAGGTACTGACCTCCTTTTGTTAAGTGTTTTTTTTGGAGACAACTCATTTAATTAAACTTCGACTCAACCTGATTTCAGTTGTCCTTACCACCTTAATTTAACCCAAATACCTTGTTACTGCCCTACCCTAACGAGCTGGGTTGTAACACTTGACTATAATTTTACACAGGTAATGTTACTTAAGTAAAAGTTCATCAAAGTAATAGTAATTTTACTTAAGGTGAATATTTTAGTACTCTTTCCACCTCTGGTAGTATTTGCATTTACATTTACTCATTTGGCAGACGCCAAGAGTTAACAAAAAAGTACAATCAATACAAGATAATTGTAGGGGACAGAAGAAGAAGAGCACAGGAAGTGCATGTTAGCGGTGTTATCAGAGGAGGTGTTCTCTGCAGAGTTTTCAGGAGCTTCTTGAAGTCAGAGAGGGACCCTGCTGCTCTGATGGCGTGCGGCAGCTCGTTCCACCATCGTGGTGTCACAGATGAGAACAGGGACTGAGGTCGCTTTGTGCATAAAGAAGGCAGAGCCAGGCGGCGTTGGAGGAGCGCAGTGGCCCAGAAGGAACGTAGACTTGGATTATGGAGTTCAGGTAGATGCTGCAGACCCGGTAGTCACTCTGTATGCAGCGTTAGGGACTTGAGTTGATTCTGGAGGCCCCGGGGAGCCACTGGAGGTCACTGTCATTTTGGGCTAATCAAAAACCAGACGGGCTGCTGCGTTCAGAGCCATTTATTTGGTATGTTAAAATAACAGCTTTAAAATCAGGGGGCTGATTTTAAAGCTGCTGTTCTCAGTGTGGATATCAGGGCAGAGGCTGCGAAGAGACTAAAGATGTCGGAGGAAGAAAGGAAGAGAAAAAGAGAGACAGACGAGCAAGAGACCGGACAAGAGTCCATATCAGACTGGCTTTGACTCGTTGAGCTAAAGAGCTGAAAGGATGCAGGAGACGTCCAGCTGGTCTTCTTTCTGTCGGTCATATCGCTGGGTCTTGTGTTTTCGCTTGTTTCTGATCATGTAATCATAACACATCTTATGTGATGTTGCTTTAAGCTTCTCCACTACACGTTTAACACTCGCAGTCTGGCAGCTCCTCTCTGCAGTGATGGCTGAACAGAGAGCGCCACCTAGAGGCCGAAACTCGACTCAAAATCATCACTAAATCTGAGGGAGAGGGTGTATTTTGACAGACAGGTGTGTGTTACCTGGGGTTCCTCTCTCGGACCACAGAGAGCATGTCGGTGCTGACGGTGGGATAGTGAACGTAGCTCGCCACCTTACAGCCACCCAGGTAGCGGAAGATGGGCAGGGTGAAGGCGTAGCCCATCGAGTCCACGAACAGGTCAGGAACGAAGGCGGTCAGCGCTTCCCAGCCTGCAACACACACACACAGTCATTTAAAATCATCGAGTGTAACCGTCACAGCAGCGTCTCTGTGGACTTCTGCGTCTTTATGAAAGTCGCGTTCTGGCCCGGCCTTACCGAGGAACATGGAGCCGGCGCTCTGACCCAGCAGGGTGAAGTGAGGGTAAGAGCTGGCCTCCACCAGCGTGCGGTGACGCAGGAAGATGAAGGTGATCGGTCGAGGCAGCGTGATGTTGAAACGCTGTCGGGCTCCCTCCAGAATCTGCTCGCCGGTCACTCCCTGGTCGCCCGTGTAAACCACAAAAGAGACGCCGGGGTATCTGGGACGAGGAGGGGAAAACAGAAACATCTGTTTCAGGGATTTCTACTAGTCCACTGGCAACAAAATAGAGTTATATTTACACACAGAGCAAATAAAAGATCTGGACCTTGAACATTAATTTATTTTCTCATACAACCGTCGCTTGTTTTCTGTTTTCTGATCTCTACTGTAGGTCAGATTTCCCCCCCCAGGACATCAGTACAAACATCCATCCATGTTTACATTCTAGATGTTTTCCTCTTCAACGTCTTTGTGGCCGAATTGCTGCATTTTTTTTTTCTGTCGCAAAACTAATCTTATATCCACAAGTATCAACACTTTAACTAAACGCTCTGTGGTGATTGGTTTGTATCTATGAACTCCACGTGCTTGTAGATGGCTCAACCCTGAAAACGACCTCAGCCATCCAAAGTCTGTTTTTTAACACCAGCATTTTTTTTGTTGAGATCCTGAATTCTCATTGGGCCACATCGAGTGACCCGCTGCGCACAGAACCAGCGGACAAATCCAGCACCGGCCAACCAGGAGGCTTTGATCCCACTCATGCTGATGTGCCGTAGCTGCAGAGCCGTGACCGAGCTGAGGTAAGAAAGTTTGATAAACTAGAGAACCAATAAGTTGATATAAATATTAAATCAACTTTATTGGTCACATGCAAAATTTAAACCATACTGATAAGGAGCAGCGCCCAGGGGCCGGTTAGAGGTTCAGGGCCTTGGATTCGAACCACCGACCCTCTGTACTTTTTTTTTTATTTGATGGCCTTGCTACAGAAGCGCATTGCATTCACCAAAGAAAAAATAAAGTAGACACCTTATCTCTTAATTATGAGGAGGGATGACATAATTAGGAGATCGGGATCTTGTAATTCGCAGATGAATATTAGTCTGTAAACCAAGGCTGCAACTAACGATTATTTTCATTGTCGACTAATCTGCTGACTATTTTCATGATAAAATGTCAAAAATAAAATTTGTGAAACATGATTTTCCAGAACAAAAAGTTCTTGAGTCCAACTAACAATCCACAATCCAAAGACTCTTTTTCATTTACTGTCATAAATGACAAAGAATAGCAGTAATTCCTCACATTGAGGAAGATTCAACAAGCAATTTTCCACATTTTTGCTTTAAAAAAAATGACAAACGATTAATAGATTATCAAAATAGTTGTTAAACGATTTTCTTGCGATCAATTAGGTGACTAATCGTTGCAGCTCTACTGTCAACACTGTAATAAAACCTTTATCTATAAGGGTTTTTAGCAGTGTTAACTTCTCCATCCTGCCTTGGAAGCATCAAGCTGATAACTTCCCTTCCTGCAGCTGTGCAGAGGTTCTGCCGAGTAAAGTGACCTCACCAGCTGTCTCATCATCACTACGTCCAGATTTCCTTTATTTCAGGCGTCTAAAATATGTTTTTCTTTGGTGAGTGCAATGCGCTTCCGTACCCTGACGCACTGGTATTAAAAAAAACAACAACCTTACAACACCGAATGCCAAGTGGCCCTGCCCCGAACACGATGAGTTTCCAGGCCTGCCTACCAGGTACCCGAGTGTTAAAGAGTTTCCTATAGTTGCAGGTAGAAACGTGAAATGAAGCCTGGTCATGTCAGTGTAGACAGATAAATCAATAAACACCCTACATGGCCATTAATATGTGGACATTAACAATTAAATCTTGTTTCAGCTCCTCAAATGTCAGGATTTGCTGGTTTTCTTTGTTTTATATTGAAAATAAACTGAATATATTTGACTGACAAAGAAACTTCTCAAGAGCTGTGGGAAATTATTTTCAGGCAAAAACATGCAATAGTTGGTGTCAGTCCTAGAACACAGCGGTAGGATCAGTAGTATCCTGGCACTTTTAGTCCAGATCAAACCTTAGACCCGCTATGTGGACCTGAAGTCCACGTACCGGTGCATGAGGGCCCTCAGGGAGCACCAGAGGACCCGCTCCCCGCCTCCTCCGGCGTTGCAGTACGGGTGGAAGAAAGCCACCGCGGGGCCGCCGCCCTGAGCCCGGCGGGCCTGGCGGCGGCCCCGCAGCCACATGCGGACCCCCAGCAGGAGCAGCAGCAGGACGAGGGTCAGGAGCAGGCTGAGGTAGACGCAGGGGACCACCAGGGACCACAGCAACCTGAGGAGGGGCAGACAGAAGGCTGTGAACGGGCCCTTTAGCAAAAGACGTTCACGTGAAACTACAGGATGTGAACCAGTCAGCTGCTCGTGACTCGAGTTCCTAACGTTTAATCAGCTGGGCTGAAGTTTACCTCATTAAATCGCAGAAACACAGAGAGAAGTGGTGGTGGTGGTGCTGGTGCTCCTGTCCTGCCATTTTGACAACACAGACGCTACCGGAAGCTGCTGTCAGCTGACCGAGCTGCCTCTCTGCGATTGGCTCAGCGTTTGTTTACCTCCACGTCATCGACACATGACTTTTATTTATTTTTTTATTAACGCGTTCATTTTAACTCGTTATTCAGAATCTGGTTTATTGCCAGGTACATTTTCACACACGAGGATTCAGCCTTGGTATATATTTGGTGCTTAACAGTACACAAAATATACTAATAATATTATAGAAAAAGAGAGTATTAATGCTACAATACTAATACAACCCCCCCAAAAAAATATACATGTGCAAAAATTCACAATTTGAGCAATAAAATAAAAAGTTAGCCAGGCTAATAAAGGTACGTGTCATATTTTGTATGTTGTTGTTTAACCACTTAATTTTTTAAATAATCAGTAATTTAACAATTGGTATAATTTTACCACTTGTGGGGCCATTTTCAATCAATTCTTGGCAAATATGTCTCAACGTTAAACTTGGAGGCAGGTAATTCCTTGGAATGGAAGCTTTACAACTGTACAAAAATAATAAAGATCAGCAAACAAATACAAATACATTGCTCCACCTAATTAGTATTATTTTCACTTTCTGTCTGTCTGTTTTGGCTGAACATCATCAACATGTGATTGTATTTGCACAAAACAAAAAACAACTATTATTAAATATCCAAACCCCTCACCTAGGGTGTCTTTTATTTATTTGTTTGTTTGTTTATTTATTTATTTATTAATGCATTAAAATAAAAAAGTATACCAGGTAAATATATGTAGATATAATATTTTGTATGTTTTAACCTTGTAATCTAACCAGTTGTGGGGCCATTTTAAATCATTTCTTGACAAACTACACGTTTTCTAGGCTGTATTTACAAGGTATTATACAGATACATTTACATTTACTCATTTTATCCAAAGCGACTTACATTTGAGGAACAACATACAAGCATCAACAGAGCATCAAATACAGATCTACAACTGACAATACATACTAGTAAGAGCTCACAGTACATATCACATCAATGGGGTAGATACCTGGGAAGGAAGGAAGAGTTAACAAAAAGTGCAATCAAAACAAAAAAGTGCAATCAATACAAGATCATTGTAGGGGATAGAAGAGGAAGAGCACAGGAAGTGCATGTTAGAGGTTAGGAGTTCCCTCCCCAATCCGGCTGGGACAACGTCTGACAGTTACTCTCCAATTTTCTGAAAAATGCACCAGTCCCGCTGCAAAGTCCAACACCGCAAACCATTTTGCTCCAGCGCCTTCCTGTCAAAAGTTATTCAACAATGCATGTCAACCTCCTACGTCTTCTCCTTCTCCTCATCCCTGTTGCTGTCTGCTGTCTGCCTAACCCTAACACCAACCACTCGGGGACCAATGTGACCAAGGTCTCCCGAGTGGTTGTGGTCAATTAGGAATGGTCTGGTGGAAGTGCTGCCTCCCATTGCAGCCGGAAGCTCCCAGGTTGAAGTCCACCTCCGCTTCAGAAGAGCTAGGCTTCCTCTCCCAGGCCTCCCAGTGGGTAACCAGTCCTACTACCGCCCCAGGGGGCCCGCCCATCAGCTTTACCGTAGAAAATTCAACTTCGCTCCATCAGGTCGACTGGAAATGCTCCCCCCCCCCGAGTCGAGCGCTGCCACCCGGCAGCTCTACAGCCTTCCTGTCAAGAGTTACTCCAAAAAGGCCCATTTTGAGGTGGTTTCCATCCCCTAACCTACTGTTAACCCTAATTTTCTACTTTTTGCTCACCCACCCCGAAATTCCACCCCGATTCCCAAGGCTGCAAGCCCTGTGGCTCTACCAACTTCCTGTCAAAAGTTATTGGGGTCGCTCGCCCGATCGGTGGTAGCATTTGCCCGAAATCCTACTCTAGGGGTTAGGGACACCGTTTTGGCCTCCCGCGCAATTTCCTCTTCCTGTCAAAAGTTATTCAACAATGCGTCTCACCGCACTCATTCCACTTCCTGGGCATCATCATCACCACCACCCAGGACCTCAAGTGGGAGCTGATCATCACCTCCGCCACCAACAAGGCCCAGCAGAGAATCTACTTCCTGCGGCAGCTGAAAAAGTTCAACCTTCCAAAGACAATTCACCACCGCCATCACTGGGTCCAGTTAGAAATCCATTTCTTTTTTGCGTGGCTATCGGGTTTTATCAAAATAACAGTCCCCAAGGAGTATTTGTGCCAATTTTAGTACTTCTTTCCACTTGTGAAAGATTTTCCTGCAAAAATGCAATTAGCTGCTCTGCTCTAAAGTACCAATTTATTTTATACTATGTTTTCTTATTGAACAAATACACTGCTCAAAAAAATAAAGGGAACACTAAAATAACTGAATGAATGAAATAATCTCATTAAATACTTCTTTCTTTACATAGTTGAATGTGCTGAAATCACACAAAAATTATCAATGGAAATCAAATTTATCAACCCATGGAGGTCTGGATTTGGAGTCACACTCAAAATCAAAGTGGAAAACCAAACTACAGGCCTTAAAACAAGTCAAAATGAGGCTCAGTGGTGTTTGTGGCCTCCACGTGCCTGTATGACCTCCCTACAACGCCTGGGCTCCTGATGAGGTGGCGGATGGTCTCCTGAAGGATCTCCTCCCAGACCTGGACTAAAGCATCCTCCTGGACAGTCCGTGGTGCAACGTGGCGTTGGTGGATGGAGCGAGACATGATGTCCCAGATGTGCTCAGTTGGATTCAGGTCTGGGGAACGGGCGGGCCGGTCCATAGCATCAATGCCTTCCTCTTGCAGGAACTGCTGACACACTCCAGCCACAGGAGGTCTAGCATTGTCTTGCATTAGGAGGAACCCAGGGCCAACCGCACCAGCATATGGTCTCACAAGGGGTCTGAGGATCTCATCTCGGTACCTAATGGCAGTCAGGCTACCTCTGGCGAGCACATGGAGGGCTGTGCGGCCCCCCCAAAGAAATGCCACCCCCCACACCATTACTGACCCACCGCCAAAGCGGTCATGCTGGAGGATGTTGCAGGCAGCAGAACGTTCTCCACGGCGTCTCCAGACTCTGTCACGTCTGTCACATGTGCTCAGTGTGAACCTGCTTTCATCTGTGAAGAGCACAGGGCGCCAGTGGCGAATTTGCCAATCTTGGTGTTCTCTGGCAAATGCCAAACGTCCTGCACGGTGTTGGGCTGTAAGCACAACCCCCACCTGTGGACGTCGGGCCCTCGTACCACCCCTCATGGAGTCTGTTTCTGACGTTTGAGCCGACACATGCACATTTGTGGCCTGCTGGAGGTCATTTTGCAGGGCTCTGGCAGTGCTCCTCCTGCTCCTCCTTGCACAAAGGCGGAGGTAGCGGTCCTGCTGCTGGGTTGTTGCCCTCCTACGGCCTCCTCCACGTCTCCTGATGTACTGGCCTGTCTCCTGGTAGCGCCTCCGTGCTCTGGACGCTACGCTGACAGACACAGCAAACCTTCTTGCCACAGCTCGCATTGATGTGCCATCCTGGATGAGCTGCACTACCTGAGCCACTTGTGTGGGTTGTAGACTCCGTCTCATGCTACCACTAGAGTGAAAGCACCGCCAGCATTCAAAAGTGACCAAAACATCAGCCAGGAAGCATAGGAACTGAGAAGTGGTCTGTGGTCACCACCTGCAGAACCACTCCTTTATTGGGGGTGTCTTGCTAATTGCCTATAATTTCCACCTGTTGTCTTTTCCATTTGCACAACAGCATGTGAAACTGATTGTCAATCAGTGTTGCTTCCTAAGTGGAAAGTTTGATTTCACAGGAGTGTGATTGACTTGGAGTTACATTGTGTTGTTTAAGTGTTCCCTTTATTTTTTTGAGCAGTGTATAACAAATGAAAGAAGCCATTGTCTTTTATTATTTATTAGGGATTTATTACGTGTGGCCAGTCCACATGTGAACAGAGAGCCAAAACATTCACACACTAAATGTTCAGACCCAAACACAGACCACGTGGAACATTTGTCTGTCCCTGTAGCTCGGTGAGATAGGGTTCGGCTTTGCAGCCCAGAGGTTGTGAGTTTGATCCTTATTGAAGGCAGCTTATTTTGAGTCGCAACTTCCAAAGTGAAGAGATAAGAGCAAGTGTGAAGGGTATTTGGACACGTTAAGCTGTAAAGGCACTGGTGGGATTTCAAGACAGGCACTTTCCCCAACTGGTAGTACTTTATAATAACTGCACACTATAAAGCATTAGTTAAGTATGTACCCTTCAGTGGGACACATCTTAAAGATATAAAATATATCATAGTTCAGTGGAGCACAGAGTCCATTCTAACATTTAAGCCACAAGGCGCATTCTTACACATGATATAAATAATTACATGACATGACCAGACATTTACAGAACAGTTTATCAAAAAAAAAAAGACATTCATAGATTCAAAATGCACCAGTCATGGATAGTCACAGATGGACCATTTTCATTATCAGATAAAATATCACATAAAATGAGAATGAGAATTTGATATTTAAAAAACCCTCCGTTGATATCTTGCTGTAAGACTTAAGGAGCAGAGTGTAAAATCATAATGATGATGAGGAAGATTACATGCAGTAACAACACACATTTTGTCACATGAACACATCTCTTACAAATAATAATAAACTGATAAATTAACTAGCCATCATTGTGCTCGAGAAAACAAGCTTCAATATGGAGAGTTTTAAAAAGATCAGTAAAGCTTTTACATGGAAAATACAAAATAATTTACACAATCTGCGGTTAACTTGGTTTAAAACAAATAATAATAATAATAATAATAATAATAATCTGAAAATTGGCAGATTGAAGTAAATCTTTATTTTGGACTGTGGTGTCTGGTGGCAGGTGCTCAGTTGCTATAATGGCATGGATCTACTCACTCAGATACGGTAGGGGGCGGTATGCACCTTAAAAGTTGGTTTGCTCTCCAGTAAACACACATAGCAGACGAAGAAGAAGAAACTCAGGCGAACTAATTAGTTTGCTTGTGTTAGTTTAACTTGGAGCTGCTGCAGTAAAAGACACATGGAGCCGTCAAAGCGGGACAGTTTACCAGGGAATAAGTTTAACGAGACAACACCTGCTTACAGTTGATGCGCTCACCTGGTCATTGGATATGAAAGTATGGGGGGGTTGTGTAACCAGCGGACGATTCTGGCAGGTAACGTCACCCCTGTCCATATACCTGAGCGTGTTTTTGGTTTGGGATAGAAAAACAAACGCATCTGTCCCTGTATACCTGTCTGTCTGTCTCTACCTTTTGATTTTGCATTTCATGCTCAGGGTGTCTGTCCACCTGTCTGCGCCTCTGCTTGTCCGTGTAAACATGTCTTCACTTGTCTGTTTCCCGAATTCAAATTCAAATGAGCTTTATTGGCATGAAAGTAAGCTACATATAAATTTCATACATTTCATTAAATAGGGAAATAAAACCGTAAAAGTTGTGTGTGTGTGTGTGTGTGTGTGTGTGTGTGTGTTTTAAAAAAAATAAATTATTATATTTATATATATATATATATATATATATATATATATATATATATATATATATATATATATTTTTTAATATAATATAAAAACTGTATCAAAATCAGTATCAAATGTGAGATTTAAAGTTTGTATCTGCATTTTATTATAACTACCTGTCTGTGTCTCTTTATAACGACCCCTCTATTTCTTTCTGTCTACCTGTCTATCTCTACTTTTGATTGTCATTTCAGACTTTGTGTTTTTGGCTTCCTGTCTGTGTCTGCAGCTTTGTTGTTTTGTTTTTTTTCTACCGGTCCGTCTCTCTAAACACCTGACCTGTCTCTCTGGCTGCTTGACTGTCCTGATTTCAAGGCCACAGGAAGAAACAACTTTCTCAACCAAAGTCCAGTATTTTATTCAGATAAAAATGAAACCATAGAGTATATAAATAAACATGCACCCTTAAAATAATCACCTCATGCAGCTGGTCACATGTCTTCAGATTGGACGGATGAGGTGGACGTGGTGGACGTGGTCTCTATCAATTCCTTCTATGGATGTGACAGCCTTTTAAAAGAAACTTTCAGTCCTTTGACACCTAAACCTCCCACGACAGTCCTGAAACTCTAAACCTCTGCGTGGGGTCACCTTAACTTGCAGCCAGCGTGCATTGCCATATAAAGACAAAATGCATTTCATTCCTGTTTCTAAAGTGTTGCATGTCACTTCCTTCCTCATGCATTTGAATAGACGCGTTTGTCGCCCTGCTTTCGGTTGCCGACTCACGCGCTGCCTGTCGAGTAGTGAGCAGCACAGCAGCCAGACGGACCGACCGAGGAAGAGAGTCGACGAATAAATCCTCCACGCCCAGAGATCACCGTCTCTCACCTCTCAGGTAAATGACATATGAGATCAGGTGGCCTCTGATGCACACATGTGTTTCCTGAAGGCGTCAGGAAATGTTTGCGTGGGATTGTTTAATTCTGTACATTATGTGTGGAAAGGGGTAAGACGGAGTGTGTAACTGTGTAATGTTCAGTCTGCATTTTCACAATCCTCCCTGCAGGCCTTGTTTCTGCTCACAAATTGTCCCTCCTCTGTAAAAAGAACACAAAAACTTAAAACCTGCATTGCTTAGTTTGTATAACTTTGTGCACGTTTGATAAAAATCATTTAAAACTTGTGCTTGAACTGAAAAGATAAGAGCAGTTAGATGCAGAGTGAGGCCTACACACAGAGGGGGGAGAGGAGGAGGAAGAAGAAGTTAAACCACTGCAGCGAACTGAAAGGAAGCTTGTGGTTAGCTTCACTTCAACTGCAAAGAAAACCCCTCCGAGACAGAAACTCTTAAGAGCAGCTCCAGGACAGGGTTTCATTAGTCTTTTATAATTCATGTTGAAAAAGGATCACCAGCTGAAAGAATATAGTTAATGGAAGTCGGGCACGTGTGAGGCATGCTGATGAGCTCCAGCACATGCAAATAAAATCTTACAGGAGGACGGAGGCCTCGCCGCTCAGAGGCGAGTTGAGTCATAAAATCTGATCCACATGATGCAAAACATTCTTCTCCTCTCGATCAGTCGGTCAAAGATTTAGGAAAATGTAAGTTCAGTGGCAACTGGTGGTAGAAAATATTCCAGTGCTGTACAATTATATTTCAAAGGGAACTACTGAACTCTGTACTTCACATTTATCTGATAGTTTTAGTTGCTGCAAGTTCGAACATAGGATCAACTTCTAAAACATTTCATTGTAATAAAGTAAAACTTCTGATGTACATTTACTGAAGACCTACAGCTCGACTTTAGCTTCATCACATAGCACGACTCAGAGATCAATATCATTATAATGTCAGTATATATTGCAGAGGCTTGAGGAGCATTTAGTCAGGAGGTGATGAACTGGAGGAAGCTGTGGAGCAGATTTTAAAGGGAGTGCCCACTCACTCAGTATCTAATGGATTAAAGTGTTAATAAGTTGCAGTGATTGATTCCTGCACTTACTGTTAAATCTAACCATTCACATCCCTGTCAGTCTTCAGTGTGGGAGAGAATTTGCATGAGAAGTATTTGTGGTTGACAGTTTATTTCCATAAAATAAACCGCTTCATGGTTGACTGTGCTCACAGTCCATTATTTTAAACTTCACATTGTCAGTTGTTTTGTTTTTTTTAAATGCTGTGAGATCACAACTTCATTTTGCACGTTACATTTCCAAAAGAAGACGTTCTATTCAGTTGTCACACTCAGATCTGCACTGTATTGGTGTTGGATCCTGGTAAAACCTGGGTGGATCATGGGCTGCAACTTTTTGTTGTATTGATCTGACTGTTAATTTATTTATTTACTTGTTTGGTGTTTAAAGTGATTGATCAAATGACCTCTTCAAATGTCCGGTTTTGTCTGAAATACGAAGAGATTTCATTCACAGAGATGTAAAAAAGAAAAGCAGCACATCCTCACATTTGAGAGGCTGGAACCAACATCTGTTTGACCTCCGACCGCAAAATGAGTTTTACCAGTTGAGCCACAGAGAATTGTTAAAGAAGATTAGTGTTTATTTTATTAAAACCCCATTGCTTCTGCTACAGCAGATCTTCTGCAAATCTTCCTGTCCAAATAAAACATATCAACAACACAGTCATGAATGGAAGGTCCAAAATAAACACAAAAAAATGTATAGAATAAAACAGCTAATCTGAAATATTTCTTCTTTTTTTGGCAGTTAGTATAGAGACAGACAGGAAACATGGGGAGACAGGGGGGTGTGGCATGCAGCAAAAGTGCAAAACTATCAATAATATCAATAAGTGGTTCAAATGGCTCCATATGATATAAACACACAAATATTACAAAATACAGCTACATTTAAGCACACAAGCTGACACATTAGTAAGGATTGAGACAAAAGAAAAGAGAACCACAGTGCTACCATGGAAATAGATGCTTAAAACAATCAATTAAAAGTGGAAACACTGATAAATATATTATACCAACTGCTGAACAGGAACAGGAAGTTGGAGCTCGCTGCCGTGAACAAAAAAAGTTACATGCAGATTAGGACACATCTTGCACCTTAAATTTCAGATTGACTCATTCGACTAGTTTGCTAAAACAAGAGCGGATGAAAACATTAAAGACCCTTATTTAGCTGTCGGAGCTGCTGAGTTTCATTTCTGCTTCTGACCTGCCGCCTGCAGCAGGACTGCATCTCAGCCAGCTTTCTCTAAATTTAGACCTCAGAGCTGCAAAGACATTAAGGGGACACCTTTCCCTTAAAACAGCTTTAAAAAAGGCCTCAATCATCTCTAAATCTATATCTAATATAAGTCCACTTTAAAGCTTATATGAAGCTTCTTAATGTCCTAATAATGAATGGAAGGCAGGTAAAGATAAAAGTCAGCCCCTAAAAGACTCAAATCATATATTACATCAGTATAAAAAGTTTCACGAGCAACTTGTTGATAAAGTGACTTATTATCTTCACGCACCAAAGAAAGTAATACATTAATAAAGACTTCCAGAAGAACAAGAACACTTGATTTAGATTTTTTCAGTCTGAAGCACAACAATATTTGATTTTTCCGTCATGTCTAAAATCTGTCAATTTTTTTAACCCCCTTCAGGTGATTTGATCTGAAAGTTTAGGTTGAGCTAAACTCCTCCGTCCTCTCAGACTCTCACTGACGGGATGAAACAAGATGAATGTGTTAATGAACTGGCAGCAATTTTGATATGATACGTTTCAGTCCTTCTCTGAAGCTAAAAATAACCCTATTTAGGTTTTGGTTAAAAAAAGCTTTATAGAATTATGGCATTATGACCTGACATTTTATAGACTAAACAAATAATTGATTGATCAAAAAAATCAATCAGCAACTGATACCGAAATAACTTGTTAATTGCAACCACTAATTCACTTTACCTCAGCTTGATTAATTTTATTCATCAACTTTAAATAAAAGGTGTATGTGTATATCAGAGCACACACACATTGTGAACATTTTACAGAATAATGAAAGGAACCACTGATTAAACAGTCGAACAGAACAACAGATATTTGACAAATGTTGGTTACATGGGGTGTTTTGTGGGAGAAATATTAGAAATATTAGCCGTAGGAGGAGCTACATTGATTTTAGCCTGTAGGAGGAGGAGCTACATTGATTTAGCCTGTAGGAGGAGGAGCTACATTGATGTTAGCCTGTAGGAGGAGGAGCTACATTGATGTTAGCCTGTAGGAGGAGCTACATTGATGTTAGCCTGTGGGAGGAGCTACATTGATGTTAGCCTGTAGGAGGAGGAGCTACATTGATGTTAGCCTGTAGGAGGAGCTACATTGATGTTAGCCTGTGGGAGGAGCTACATTGATGTTAGCCTGTAGGAGGAGACGCTAATGACGACGATAGCCCGTAGGAGGAGCTACATTGATGTTAGCCTGTAGGAGTAGGAGCTACATTGATGTTAGCCTGTAGGAGTAGGAGCTACATTGATGTTAGCCTGTAGTAGGAGACTCTAATGTTGATGTTAGCCTGTAGGAGGAGCTACATTGATGTTGATGTTAGCCTGTAGGGGAAGCTAACGTTGCCCTATAAAACCATGTGAAACAGATTGCAATATAATTTTTCCTCTGGAATCAATCTGTATGTTATTAGTAAAATTTTGTGAAGTATGTGTAAACTCGTACTGCAGCGTTGGACGGGCCGGGACACGTGGCTCGAATTATCGCACGTTTTGGACCAGTAACTAACGAGTGAAACGTCTCTTCCTATGTCCCCTACGTGGCGCTGGAGAAAACCAGCTCTTAATATGTTGTGTACCAGCACATGAAGTGTGGACCACGCTGTGAAAATGCCATGTACATCAAATGATTTTTGTCACAAAGGGCTTACTTCCTGTTTCCAGTAGGTGGCGCTATGACATTGAATGAATATTTGCATGTAGATGTGCTCAGGGCGGGTCTTTTTATCAAACATGTAAAGTTTTGTGCAGATGTGAGCATGTCCACCGAAGTTACACCAACTTCCTGTTTCATGGCGAGTCATCAATATTCAACGCCACGCCACAGACACGCCCTTTAACGAAAACTCACAGATAGCAAATCTTTTCATCATCAATGCCTTTAGATTCAACAGCCAAATTTTTAAGTCAATCTGATTAATTCTGTAGGAGGAGTTCGTTAAAGTACAGACCCTTTAAAAGCTAACGTTAAAATACTCAAACCTCCCTTTAACAGACTGAAGGTAAAGTTCTACCTGAAGGTTTCACTCTTTGTGTCTTTCTTCACTTCTAGCTGATTTTTTTTCTTTTTACCTGTACCTTTTTTGTGTTGCCACATGTTGGATGTTGGTTGTACAAAATGCAGAGACCAGGTTTCACATCCTGAGACCTCAGTTAGGTTAAAGCAACAAAAGCCACTTTAGTTAAGGCTGGTGGTTTTGGTTAAATGCTTATGTTACAAAACCTTAGGAGGGGTTTTCGAGCATACAAACCTTATCTTTGAGAGACGGCGTTGCCTCACATGGACACAAAATCTCCTGTAATGGCGTCTTGAGCTGAACTGAATGCAGCCTCAGTCTTCACAGATGTAGGTTTGTAGGGTTATATTTTCTGTTATCACGTCACCATCAGGCTGCTTTTCTCTCCGAGCGCTGCAGGAAGTTAACTCGCTCATATTAAAGGTTGAAGTCAGTGTTTGCGGTTTTCAAATGATTAGTGTCAACACACTGGGTCTTTCTTAACGTCTTCCTCTTCACATTAACCAAAAAAGGATCTGCGAACACACGGTGAATCATCAGACTGAAATAAAATGCCTCACGCCAGTCACATGATCAGTTACCTCAGAATTGCTTCACTCTAACTCAATCTGCAGCTCTTGAGAGACAAAACTCAGTAATGTCAGTATTGCTGCAGTTGAATTAAAACACATAATGTACGAACGTGGAAGTTTTCTACACCTTAGATTACATGAGGAGAGTCGGGTGAAAAGGTCGACGCCACTCTCATGTTCGGCCTTTTCAACTGCAAAGCTGCAGCATCTTAACTTTGCATAATCACTGGAAACTGGGGGAATTCGCTAGCCTCTGTCCAAAGGTAACAAAATCTGACCAGATCTTATTACACGCAGCAATAACAAACAAAGAAACACTTGTCTGTCAGGCAGGAAGAGCAGCAGCAGCAGGAGGAAGTTGGAGGCCGGCAGAAGTGAGAACTGTGAGCAGTTTGCATCACAGAAAAAAAAAAGATACCATCTCTCAAGTTCCTCCTTTTCTGCACTGCTCAGTCTGCCAGGCAGGTTTTAACTTTTTGATTTAAGGATGTTGATTTTTTGAAATTCTGTGTCAGTTTCAGGTTCCCAACATGGCCGCACAAATCTCACCAGAGGAGCAGGAGGAACTCAGAGAAGCGTTCGCCAAAATTGGTATGGGAATCACTGCCACTTCCTCTTTGTTTGATTCAGGAAGGACCAGTAGGGACCGGAGGCCCGAGTTTCATGACAAACATCGGCTTAGACTACAGACTGTTTAGAAAAAGTGGATGTAGCCAGTGTGACGTCCCCGTTGGTTTGTGGACTGCTGTTTTTAAGCCGAGAGTTTGGCATTTTTGTCTTCGCCGTCTTAGTTTTTTGGAACCAGACGTGCAAAGTGCATCTGTAATTCATGATATTAGCTGCAATGCTAATTTTGGGTTTAAAACAAATTGTACTTACCGGAAAAATGAACAGCCGACTCCTAATAAAAAATAATAAAAATAAAAATAATAAGCTTGTTCAAAAGCGCTGGTTAAATGAACACAAGGTAGCCCCCCCTGCTTCCTGGTCTCTGTTCCTCTAAATGGGACCATAATTTACTAAATGAACATCATGCTGTGTTGAAGAAGACTTGAAACTAGCGACTGAGACCATAAACTCATCAGGAAAGTGTTTACTGAGGGAATAAATCAGCTGACAAGTAGGAACATTTTCTCATAGACTTCTATACAATCACACTTCTTTCTGCAGCCGCTGGAGTCGCCCCCTGCTGGCTGCTGGAGAGGACGCAGGTTTAAGGTTCTTCAGCTCTGGCTTCACTTTTCCTGTTTGTTCTGAACTCAGTTTTTAAGATGTGAGAGAGACGATAATCCAGACCTGGACCCCCCTTTTCTCACAGCCTGTAACGTCTGTCCTCTTTATAGATCTGAGTAATAAAGGCTAAACATCCAAGAAACATTCTGAACAAAACTAATTTACAAAAGGTTTTAAACTTATTTTTGTGCATCTAATATGTCAAGCGAGAAGGGGAAAAAGACAGAAATCCTTTTTGAGCCATGAGAGCAAATTCAGATATTAACAGCCCTCGTTCTGAACCTGGACTGAACACAGCTCAGAAACTTTATCTACATTTACGATTTGTTTCTCAAAAGGTTTTGGGCCGTTTTACATCCAGAGAATAAAATTATCCCTTAAGAACCAAGAAAAAGTCACATTTTCTGTCTATGAAGGATGAACCGGGTTTAAAAGCGTATTCAGTGAACGACTCGCAGGTCTCCTGTATGAACACAATATTAAATAATATTAAAGTGATGCTCTCTGTTTGACCTCTGACCTTTCCATCCCTTTTCCAGATGTGGACAACAATGGGTTTATTAGCAAGGATGAGCTCACCGAGCTTTTCAAGGCCGCTAACCTGGCGCTGCCGGGCTACCGGATCCGAGAGATCGTCCAGGAGTTGACTAAGACCAGCGACCAGCTCACCTTTGAAGAGTTCACTGAGGTGAGTTCACAGGTCAAAGGTCACACAGAGAAATAAACTGTCTATTGTCATCACAACTTAGTTCACCTAAATATCTAAAACCTGCTTTGTGTTTCTTCTTGTGAATGAAACTTGAACGCCAAAATACCAGAGGGACAGGCGGCGTAGGAAGAATATTCAGATACTAATACTGTAATACTACAGTACACAAAACCTGCATTCAAAGTCCTGCTTTAGTAAAAGTACAAAAGTATTATCAGCTAGATGAACAAGTACTACACACTGATTCATGTAAGAGGCAACAAGAGAAGAGTTATTTGAATTTTAATCTGTACGTTGCATTTTATGAGCTCATCGTGTTTTAATAAACAATCTAATGTAAAGTGTGTAGAGACTTAAAATAAGTGTAGTGAAATAAGTTTATTTATTTAGTTCATTTCAACAACAAGGCAATTCATAGTGCTTTACATGAAAGATAAAAGCAACATAAAAATACATTTAAATACAATTTTTCAATAAGATCTATCAATCCAAAATCTTATATTTGATTTAATTAAAGGTAAAAAAGAAAAGTCTTCAGTCTTGATTGAAAAGAACTGACAGTTTCAGCAGACCTGCAGTTTTCTGGGAGTTTGTTCCAGATATACGGAGCATAAAAACTGAACGCTGCTTCTCAGGTTTAGTTTGGACTCTGGGACAGATGTTCATAATGAAGCAGAAGATCAGAAACATTCAGTGCTTTATAAACTAACAGCAGAACTTTGAAATCAATTCTCTGACAGACAGGAAGCCGGTGTAAAGACCTCATGTGATCCACGTGGTTGGTCATAGCGAGGACTCGAGCAGCAGCGTTCTGAATCAGCTGCAGCTGGTTGGTCAGGGTTTTAGGGAGCCGTGTAAAGACACCGTTTTCCAGGTCCTTTAATCCTTGATTTATCCTCCAGGTGATAGCAGGCTGACTTTGTAACCGTCTTAATGTGGCTGCTTAAATTCAGCTCCATGGGTGCGAAAGTACATCAGAAATACTTTATTGATCCCTGGGGGGAAATTCTGTGTCACAGTTGCACACATTGCACATCAAGTCAAAAGGAATATAAGTAAAAATAGAAAGTTGGTTTATAAAGAAGTATATAATATCAAAAATATATAAAA